CCAATGTTACCAAACCACATGGCAGGCCATTCGTTCAAGTCCACTGAAAGTTCCAAGGTCAGCAGAGCATGGCAGGCTGCTGAACAACAACACAGCTACATGCAGGGTTCAAGTGTGCCATATGTTAGAGAGCATTCCCAAAGCTGTTTCTTATATATGGGAAACAGACCATCCCTAAAGCAGTTACTCAGTTGCTCCAATAGATTTCACTATGGGGTTAATTACTAGTCTCACCATGGGGAATAACTACATCCAGCTGCCCAGCCACTCAACCAGGCCCAGCCATGTTGACACACAAACTTAACCACCACAGTATTCCTATAATTTGAGAAATATTACATGTAAACAATTTACAACTATACTCATCATGTATTATCCTAGGGTTAAAATTGATGCTAAACGTTACCAAGGATTCTGTATGGTCTGTTATGGGGAGGAGGTCCTTGGGGCTGGGGCGTGACACTAGGAGTTACCACATCGGGTGACACACACCCTAGTGATGCCATTGATCTTGATGCTGGTGCTCCAGGGGACACAGTTTGAAAAACCTTGGGGTAGGATCAGCCTAAGTAGCCCTGGTGGTGCAGTGGTTAAGCACACAGCTGCTAACCAAAAGGTTGGTGGTTCCAACCTACCTGTGGCTCTGTGGAAGAAAGACCTGGTGATCTTCCCCCATAAAGATCACAGCCTCGGAAACCCAATGGAGTAGTTCTACTCTGTCACGTGAGTCACTCTGAGTCAGACTCAAATGGATGGCACTTGGTGACAGGACAAGCATGGCAAGGCCATGTTCCATCAGTTCTGGCCAGGGAGGAGTACTGGAATGCTCCTGAGCAGAGATCGCAGGCTCATGCCAGGCAACAGCAAGTAGGGAAGGGGCCTCGGACCCCTGGTTCTCTCCTCAGTCACAAACACAGTCACTGGGACGTTGCTGGTGGCTAGGTGGAGCCAGGACCCTGAAGAGGGATGCAGGCCTGAACCCCAAGCCAGGGAAGCTGGACTGGACAGTGGGACAGCAGGGGCTCAGCTGCCCCTGGTCACTCCTCATCACGGCCTCTCTCCCCAGCAAGCTGAAGCCTTTCTACTCCATGGAGGAAAACAGTGAGCTGATGGACATCAGCATACATTCTGTCATTTCCCTTCAGGCCCCAGGAGAGGACAGTGAGTTCGTCAAGGTAAGTCCCTCTGGACCATCCCATTTTCTGGGTCAGGACCTAGAGAGTTACACTCACATGGACCATGCCAAGAGTCCATCTTTCTGAACCCCTGTGGTTAGAGGCAGCAAAGAGTATGACACTCTAGTAGTAAGTGTAAGGTAACACAAGGAGCCGTGGTGGTTCAGTGGTTAAGTACTTGGCTGCTAACTGAAAGGTTGGCAGTCCAAACCCACCAGCAGCTCTGTGGGACAAGAGACCTGGTGATTTGCTCCCATAAAAATCACAGCCAGGAAAACCCTTTGGGGCAATTCTACTTGATCCTATAGGGTCACTGTGAGTAGGAATCCACTTGATGGGACCTAACAAGGTAATACTAGCTGCTGTAACAGGTGGACCCTGAAATCTCAGGGGGTTAACAAAATAAAGGTATTTCTCACTCAAATGAAGTCTAAATGGCAGTGGGGCTGGAGCTGCTTTACATAGGAATTCAGGTTGATAGAGGCTCTACCATTTTCAGTGGTCACTGTGGGTGTTGATATCCAACCTGGAGATGGTACATGAGAAAGAGTATAGGAGACTTATGAGCTAATTTTCCTACCTCCCGTTGGCCAGAACTTAGTCACATGGCCTTATCCAGATGTAAGGAGAGCTGGGAAATGTAGTCCCTGACTAACTGGCTGTTTCCCACCAACACTGTGGAAGAAGAACACACATCTTCTGTGGACAACTAGCCATCTCTGCCCCAAAGGCCTGGCACTGGATAAGGGGTCAGGAGAACCTGGTGGGCTCCAGAAGTTCTGGCTCCTCTTTTGTAAAATGGTTCTTCCTGAAGGGTATTGATGTGAGAAGTAAAAGATTCCAAAGGCCTCAGCTCCGAGCAGAGATTAATGGGCTCTCAGGCCCCTCACACCTCTGAGTCTGGTGTGGCCTGCAGAATCATTGCTGCCCAACCTCCCTCTCTCTCGGCTGCAGATCTTGTACTCAAACGCCCTGAGTGCCCTGGCGCATCTGATGGAGC